TGAATTGCGTAATAATCTTGATTTTTTTTTTATGCTAAACGATTCCAATAGTTCTATGGGTGATAGTACTTCACATCAATAGAGAACATTCAATTAATGCCGCCAAAGATGCTCTTCAACTTCTTTTCTTGTGTAGCATAAAGTAAAGTAATCTTCTCAATCATGTCCGTAGGTAAGTTATTAGCAAACAGAGAAGTGGTAGTAGTTTGAAAATTAGGGTTTGCACTGTTTTACCAATATTAACTTGGAAGTGAAGTACGTAATGATTGAGGGAAGATCATAATATCTCCCTTGGTTAATGTTTCATAATATACTTGATCGTTCGAATCTATAAAACCCGCAAGTATCAATCCTTCAATCACAAGGATAAGTTTTGATACCCCGTGCGAGTGGATTGGGACAACTCCACCCACACCAACGTCTAACCGCGACATGGAAAGGCCTAACCCATTTAAAGCGGGAAAAGTCAAATCGATTGCAAATGTCACAGCTACACCAAAGATGTTTGACGTGTTGCCCGCAACACCCAAACCAGAGAAAACAAAGTCATCTGCTTCTAAGTTTACCGGATTCCTACAACGAAAACGGCTGGCGTACCTGGAAAATTAAAATCTGCAACACCAAAATCAACAACAGGTAGGGTATTGGATTAACAATAAGGAAAATTTGCGAGGAAGGTCCTTTTATGAGGTCGACCTTGTGTGGAAGGTCCTTTTATGAAAAAGGTGGCACGAAAGGTCCTTATATGAACATTGGGTTGCGAGGAGGTCCTTTGACCGTTCTCCAGCGTTGACCAAAATTTTCCAGCCATTTAAAATCACGTGCAAATCACGTGACCCCTTAAGTTCCCTTTTTTAAAAAAAAAAAATTCCTTTCCCCTCTTTTCTCACGATTTTCCATCTATCCCCCATTTCTCCCTTATGAAACCCTAATTTTAGAGCAAATTAATATCAAATCTTCAATTCTTATCCCTAAAATTACAATTGAAGACCAATCAAAGACATTCAACCATAGCCGGTGCTGCGTGCTCTTCTTTCCTCCTCACCTTAGTGTTGTTGCTTGAACTTTTCCCATCGTCTTCTTCGTTCTTTAATTTTCGCCGGTTGTTAGTGGGTGGGTGTTCGTGGGGGTCGTGGGTTTGGGTCCTAGTGGGGTGGATGTTCGAGGTGTGGGTTTTAAAGGGTGGTTTTTGTAGGTGGTCGGTTCTCAGTGAGTATGGGTGGTTATGGGTAGATATAGGGTGGTTGGTTAGTCTGGATCGGTGGTTCTTTAATTAGATTGGTGGTTCTGGTGAAATTAAACACTATAACAACCATAATTCTATTTCTAATTGTTGTTTTCAAGCTTAATTTAAAGGGGAAAAGGGAAATTAAGGGAAAAGAGGGAAAAAAAAGCTTAATTTTTGTCCGAAAAAAATTGGTCAACGCTGAAATTTGGTCAAAGGACCCTCCTCGCAACCCAATGTTCATATAAGGACCTTTCGTGCCAGCTTTTTCATAAAAGGACCTTCCACACAAGGTTGACCTCATAAAAGGACCTTCCTCGCAAATTTTCCTAACAATAAATGGACAGTGTTTGTTTGTTTGTTTTGTTTTTTTTTTTTTTTAGTAGTATTGCCTTAATATATGAATATTAATGCTATACAAATTGATCTAGTACGTGCAATTTGGTGGAAGTTTTAAATTGTATTTTTTGTTTTTTTTTTTTTTTTTTTTTTGGTAAATCAATGTGATATGAGCTACTATCATGGTTTACGTAGATTTTTTTTCGTCGGATTAATGTTCAATGCACGATGAAAAATGAATGTATTATGTACTCCCTCCGTGTTTTTTTAAGTGTTACAGTTTGATCGGCACATGATTTAAGGTAATTTAATTGACTTAAATAAAATAAGAGGTAAGTGGGGTAGTTGGAATATTAAGAAATTGTAAAAGAAAGATAGAGACGTTAATAGTTTATTGAAAAGTAATGAATGTGAGAGGAAATATATTATAAAAAAAAGGTAGTAGTAGATTTGGGTGAGGACCATGAGAGGAGAGAAATACAATATTTTAATGTAGCTTTTTGCCAAAATAGAAAGTGTAACACTTATTAAAACACGGCCGAATTTGATAAGTGTAACACCTAAAAAAAACGCGGAGGGAGTAATTGGAAATTAATCACCATTATTCATTGTTAAATTTTTGAGAGAATATGAAATGGGTCTGGACAACCCAAAAAAAGGAGGAAAGTTTGATCCACTAACAAGGCTTAGGGACTTCCATATTAAAATCAATTCGCAAAAGTAGTAGTAAATCCTCTACCTTATAAAATGGAACCAACTCTCCTTTTTCTCCAAATATAGTTCACTAACAAATAAGGAGTAGGTTATAATGGGTTTCAACATTCATCTAATGATTTTACATAAACAAAGTTATTTACAAGATATAACTTCTTAATGATTGGATGAAAGTTTCAGTTATTCAAACTTTGAACGATTACAAAGATCTGGTATTGGTCAGGCCTTCCTCCATATATTACGCAAAAGAATTTCTTGAAAATAATCAGTAGTGAACAAATACAGCTCGATAATTAGACTAAGTTAATTGCAATAAAAAAGTTGATTTGATCAATTAAAGGAAATTGTCAAGATTGATACTGATGTTTAGAAAATTACATTTAACCGGATTTCTTTCATATATACTTCTATTTTTTTTTTAGATAAGGAGAAAGTGTTTAATGGAACCGGAATCTATCACAAGTTAAACAAAACAATAACAAAAAAGGAAATATATATTTAGTAGATAATCAGGGCAAGTTTTGGCCATGTGCTCAGTAGAAAGAGTCTAACATTGGCCATATTAAGAGTAACTTTAAGGACATTTTGTAAGAAACTACCTTTTAAAACATTTTTTTTTTTGCGAGAAACTACCTTATAAAAAAAATGTTGTAAAAAATTACCTTATAAAAGCTAAATGTTGTAAGATACTACCCTTGGTCGGAAAGTGAGAGTTGACTTAATTTTTCCGGCGTTAAACTAGTCATGTGCCGGTCACGTGACGTTTAATTCATCTTTCCCCATTTCCCCCCTAATTTTCCCCGAGCCTATCCATATAATACCCAAGATGAATTAAATGTCATGTGACCGGCAAATGACTTGGTCAACGCCGGAAAAATTTAGTCAACTCTCACTTTCCGACCAAGGGTAGTATCTTACAACATTAGCTTTTATAAGATAGTTTATTACAACATTTTTTTTATAAGGTAATTTCTCACAAAAAAATTGCTTTAAAAGGTAGTTTCTCACAAAATGTCCTAACTTTAATTGTTCAAAAGGTGATTTTTTTCCTTTTGATTTGTTTTTTGAATAACATGTAAATTACCACTCAAAAAGCATACATGTTTTGAAATTACCACCCCGTTTAATATTTTGTTTTAATTTACCACTCCTTAAATTAAAAACACATTTATTTTTTCACCTTTTTAAAAAATTGGTGGCTTTTTAGTCAATGGACCCCACCTAATGGCTATGTTGAGCCTTTATAATGTTTTTCCTCCCGATTTATTTTCTTTAAACCGCTCCCAAATTCAATTCGCCATTTCTTTACCAATTTCCACCATATTCTTACATATATACACATTGGAGTAAAATATATTTTTAAAAAAATATAAACAATGAAGTATGAATCACTAGCTTAAAATAAAAAAAATAAAAAAAAGTATGAATCACTAAGTAACCTTTAAAGGGTAATACTATATGTAGCATTAAGAGTTATATATAAGCATTAAATACAGTTTTGAAAATTATATAAAATTAGGAATTCATGACAAAAACACGCGTAAATCAGTATAGTTAGGGCATGTTCTCTTCCGTTGAAATTCAGTTCAGTTCAGCTCTTAATTTACGTCTAATGATATTGCTAATGATATAAAGCCAAATTTCATTCTTTTAAATTCTTATTACAACGATGACGACAACAACAACAACAACAACAATAGTAATAGTAATAATAATAATAATAATAATAATAATAATAATAATAATAATAATAATAATAATAATAATAATCAATAAGTAATAAATAATAATAATAATAATAATAATAATCAATAAATAATAATAATAATAATAACAATAATAATTGAAATAATAATACTAATAATAATAATATATAAATAATAATAATCATCAATAAATAATAATAATAATAATAAAAAAAATAACAATAATAATAATAATCAATAAATAATAATAATAATAATAATAATAATAATAATCATCAATAATTAATAATAATGATAATAATAATATTAATAATAATAATATGTACATTTGTATATACATATGTATAGTAATAAATAATCAAAGATCACTAATCCGTAGCTAAAAATCACTGATTAATAAGTTCAGTTCGGTTGAGTTCAGTCAATCGGAACAGGCCCTTAGTGTTTATATTTGGCAAAAGCTAATGAGCGCCCCCGGGGGCCGGGGCGTTAGAAAAGAGAATTAAAGTGCAAATATTAGAATAAAATTAATATTAATTACACCGAACGACATGTGATTTTGTCATGAATTCCTAACTTAATACCATTTCAACCAATATAATTTATCCTTATCTAACGCCACGGGACGCTCGTTAGCAAGATCCTTTATATTTTTATGAATTCTTAACTTTTTACGATTTTCAAATGTTAATTTAATAGTTATATGTAAGCCTTAGGGCTATGTGTAACATTTTCCTTAATTAAAAAACAACGCAGTACATTCTAAAAAATTCTTATACAAATAAATTCAATAGAATATAATAAATGCAACCATTAAGTCATTAAAATCATACACTTAAAAATCATTGATTATGATTAATCTAATAAATTCAATAGAATATAATTTACGCATAGCCTATAAATGATTGATGTCGTCTCGATCAAGTGACTGAACAAGTCTTAATAATCTAGAAAGAGAGCTGCCACGTAAACATGCAAACTCGGCAAAGTTCTATAAAAAGGTGTCATTTGCCATAAAGAAAATACAATCAACCCTTCTACATTACAAAAATTTCTCTCTTTATTACATCCTTTATCCATCATTTTTGTAACACCTATTTCTAGCTTACAATATGAACACTCTTTTGGTTTTCCTTATCTTTTGTCTCTTAGCCTTTGTCTCACAAGCCATAGAATTCGACTTTTGTGTTGGGGATCTTAGTCTTCCTAGAGGACCTCAAGGATATGCTTGTAAAGATCCTGCTAAAGTTACAACTAATGATTTTGTTTATACTGGTTTCCGTGGTGAAAAAATTCCTAATAATGTTTTTGGAAACAATGTGACATTAGCATTTTCGGATGCGTTTCCTGCCTTTAATGGTTTAGGAATATCTATGGCCAGGTTAGACTTTGCCGTAGGAGGAGTGATCCCATTACATTCCCACCGTACGTCAGAAGTTCTTATTTTGGTAAAAGGTTCAATAATTGCTGGATTTATTGATACCAACAACACCGCATACTATAAAAGATTAGAGGTTGGTGATGTCATGATTTTTCCACAAGCCATGCTTCATTTCCAAATCAATGTTGGTAAAACTCCGGCTATTGCATTTGTTAGTTTGAATGGTGCAAATCCAGGAATACAACTCACTCCTACCTCCTTATTTGCTGGAAATTTACCAGCCGACATTGTCCAGAAAATCACACTCTTGAGTGGTAAGGAAGTAATTCGGATGAAGCAATTGTTCGGCACTGCTTAATATTCATCTTAAGCTACTCCTGCATTCTTTATACTTATTTATAAGCTCTCGGTTTATTTAATTTCAGTGCCCAACATAATTGTTTTTAAAGTTTTTGGTAACAAATAAAGGGTATACATATGCCCCTTGTATTACTTGTAGTCTTGTAGCATATCCCTCTATTACATGTCTCGTAGTTAACTATTTGTTGTAATTCATGAATCGTGATTGTATGATTCTTATATCATTATTAATATAATTTGTATAAAATATTATCTTTAAACTTGTTCCAATCCCTTTCTTTTCACGATGTTTAATAAATGGCTTTTCACGGTTGACAACTAATCAGATTAAAGTCCTTTTAAAAAATAAAAATTAAGGCCAGACTTGGCACATTTAATTCATTGGATCAATATATGTTATCTAGGGTTCAAATTATTTCTCAGAGTTTTTATTTTTATACTCGTATAATTTTGGCGGGGATTGATTTAATTTAATAAAATTGCTCGGCTAACATTTCCTAATAGAAAAAAAAAATAAAAAAAATAAAAAAGACAAACTAAACATACAATAAATCAAAGACATCTACAGATAATGATATCCAAAATCTTAACTAATGGTTGAATAGAATCCTAAGATAGATTTATGTGCTCTATCACGCCCCTTTACGTAGGTGCTCTTTGATCATTTTGAAGTGTGAATGTGGCATGATCTCCCATTTACCCAATTGTGATATCATGTTAAAGGGTCCTTGGAAGCTATATATCCATCGGAACTAGGTCGATCCTTTTCTTGTATAGTAGTGTTAAATATTGTTTAAAGGCTAATAGTCTAATTCTTTTATTGCAATATATGGTTTTATAATGGAATCTCCTTGAACTTGTAAAGTAGATTATCCATCCCTTAGTGACGGTGCGACCCAAACCCATATTTAACATTGTATTAGAGTGAGACCCACAATCATTTTGTTACATGCTTTTGGTATGAAATTTTGTAGACTGTCTCTCTTGATGACGGATGTGACCCATACCCATATTTACAATAAACATTAACACAAAATTTAAAAAAATGGAATAAATGAAACCTCTATATATAAGTAGATAATTTATTTTAAACGAGAAAATACTTTCATTAATAATTAGTCATATGACATTTACATTGATAATATACATATATAAACCACAAATTTAGAGACAAGAACATAACTCTAATAGTCAAAATCATAACCTTTTTGCAATTTCGGCATAGTTCATACTCCAACGCTAACTTCAAGCTTGATGTGAGCATTGATTTCGATGTCTTTTTATATTCTCAAGTAGAGCGAGCTAGCTAGACTTTCATATTGTATAGTGATGTTTTGATTATAAAGCTGATGACAAGAACTAAACCTGACCTGGACTATGTGGATCCAATTCACCTTCCCAATAAAGAAAACACTAAAAAAAATCATTATGTGAACATCAATAATTGAAATTTAATATTGAAAAATTTGACAATTATCACCTACAATTGTTGTCGTTTTAGCAATTACCACCTATAGTTTTTTTTGGACATTTTGCGAGAAACTACCTAATAAAAAAAATGTTGTAAGAATCTACCTAATAAAAGATAAAATGTTGTAATATACTACCTTTGACCGAAATTCCACCGTTGATTTAATTTTAGGATGTTGATCCACCTTAGAACACCCCCAAAACCACCGTGAGGGTTGGTTAGGTTATTTTCGGGGTGGTTGGAGGATGTTCCGAGTTGGTAAGGATAGATTAGTGCTTCGGGATGGTGGTTTTTAGGGTTAGAGGTGGTGGTTTTGGGGTTGAAAGGTGGTTTAGATGTGATGGAGACGATTTCAAGCAAGTTGTGTTAATTTTAGGAATGAAAGCAGTGGTTTTGGTAGTGTTTTGAGGTTGATCAACGGTGAAAATTCGGTATAGATAGTATTTTACAACATTTTACCTTTTTCTTAGGTAGTTTTTTTTTTACAACATTTGACTTTTATTATGTAGTTTATTACAACATTTTTTTTATCTGGTAGTTTCATGCTAAATATGGGTTTTATTAGGTAGTTTTTGAAAAAAACCATTTTTTCGAATTTTACCACCAACTATTTTTTAAAACATCAAAACTTCCCACCTATTTGTCATTGAACTTAAATGTGACGTCATGTGGAGCCCACTAACTACCTTTTCCCTCCCTTTGCTTTTTTCTCACTCGATTTCTCATTTCCACATATTGTATACCTATCAAAATTGGGGAAAAACTTCAATTCGTGAAATAATTAACATGAATATGCAATTTAATTTTAAGTATTTCCCCAATTTTGAGAGGAGTATAATATAGGGGAATGAGAAATTGAGAGTGAAAGAAAGAAAAGGAGGGAAATAACGTTAGAAGGTAGTTTGTGGGTCGCACATGACATCACACTTCAGTTAGTGCCAAGTATGTGGGAAATTTTGATGTTTTACAAAATAGTTGGTGGTAAAAATAAAAATAAAAACAAAACAAAACAAAAAAAACTGTAGGTGATAATTGCTAAAATAACAACAATTGTAAATGATAATTGTCAAATATACTTTAATATTATTAACACAAATTTTTGTATGTGGCTAGCCACAATTTTTATTTTTATTTTTTTAAATACCACAACTTTGCTCTCTCCTCTTTTCTTATCTTCTTCTCCAAGCCAAGCCAAACCACACATCACCAACAGTCATATCTCTACTCCACCCATTTTCTCTCTCCTCTTTGTCAAATTGCTGCAATTAAATCCCAAAATTGTAGAAATTGGGAGTCAAATTGCTGTGAAAAATTGTGATTAATTATCCTTAAAATCATCAACAACATTTGAAATAGTGAAATTGATGAGAACCAAAGAAATGTGAGCTCGTTTTCTTCGTGGAATCTTAAATCGAACACTCTATGTCAAAAATTGTAGGGTGTTACTAGTTTGGTCATGTGTACTTATAGGGTGTTACTGGTCTGGTCATGGTTTACATGTAAGGTGTTACTGATTTGGTTAGGGGTTACTTGTAGGGTGTTACTAGTTTTTTTTTCAAGGGTTACTTGTAGGGTGTTACTGGTTTGGTTAGGGGTTACTTAGCTTGTAGGGTGTTACTAGTTTTTATCAAGGGTTACTTGTAGGGTGTTACTGGTTTGGTATGGGGCTTACAAGCAACCCTTGAATAAGTGACAAGTAACCCTTGAATAAGTAATTCACACAAGTTACCTTTGAAGTAACTCATATAAGTAACCCCTGAATAAGTAACTCATACAAGTAACCCTTGAATAAGTAACTCATACAAGTAACCCTTGAATTAACCCATACAAGTAACCCCTAAAAAAAATTTACAAGTAACTCTTGAAAAAAATATACAAGTAACCCCTGAATAAGTAATCCATACAAGTAACCACTAAAAAAAAATACAAGAAACTCCTGGAAAAAAAATACAAGTAACCCCTGAATAATACAATTAACCCCTGAATAAGTAATCCATACAAGTAACTCCTGAAAAGAAAATACAAGTAACCCCTGAAAAAAATTAAAAAAATACAAGTAACCCATAAAAAAATACAGGTAACTCTGACAAAATCAGTAACCCCGTTATACGAGTAAATAGTAACCCCGTTATGCGCGCGTAATCCATATCTTTACTGACTTAAGCTCTATATTATTAATATTTTGAGTTTATGAAACTTATTATTTCTAGAAAGTAAATCCATAATACTTTAGCGGCTCAATTCAACAAGATTATATTTTTTTCTTATGCATAAATCACAAATATTAGTCAAAGTAGGATAAATAAATAGTGTAAAAAATAGAAATGGAGCAAGTATTTAAAAACGGAAGGAGTAGTTAGCAAAGGGAAGTGTTTTTTTTTTTCTGGGACAAAACTTCAAGTTATTATAAATTGCTATATGCAATTATCTTCATATTTGCCAGAAGTTAGATAGCCGAATTGACCAAGTTAACGTGTATAATACAAACTAAATTATTTTTTTATTGCGTACAAAATCACGGAGTTATATATGTTCAATCATTGAGATTTTTTTTTTTTTTTTGGAAGAAACTACAAGAGCAAGTTATAACCAATAATTGAGCTATATATCTCTTACTCTCTTAATTTCAATTATTTAAAGAGTGTATTATCAATAAAGTATATAAAAGAATTTATTTTTATTTTTATTTTTTTGTATTAGGGTAAATTATATATATATATATATATATATATATATATATATATATATATATATAGGAGGCTCTCGTGAGAATTTTTCTTATGTGAGAATTTTCCTTATGTGAGAACATTCTTTATGTTCTAAATTTTTACTCGTATGTTCTAAATTTTAAATCTAATGTTCTAAATTTTTCCTTAGGTGTTCTAAATTAAATCAAATGTTCTAATTTAGTACTCACATGTTCTAAACCATAAATTAGTTAATTTTAATATCATAAATTTGAAATAACTTGTTCCAAAATTTTAACTTATATGTTCTAAATTTTAAAATGTGTGTTCTAAGATTTTTAATTATATGTTCCAGATTTTAAAGCATATGTTCTATTTTTTTACTCATATGTTCTAAATTTTTTACTCACACTTTCTATATTCTATATCAGTTTGTTCTAAATTTTTATTCACATGTTCATAATCTTAAATCAGATGTTCTAAATTTTACTCATATGTTTAAAATTTCATAAAGTATATTTTATAAATTTTTAATCACTTGTTCTAATTCTTAAATCAAATGTTCTAAATATATTACTCACATAGATGTTCTAAATTATTAGTTAGATGTTCTAAATTTTAACTTCAGACACATGTTCTAAATTTAAAATCAATTCTCATATAAGTATGAATTCTCACATATGAACTTATTCTCACCGGATCCCTCCCCTATATATATATATGTATATATATATATATATATATATATATATATATATATATATATATATATATATATATATATATATATATATATATATTGGGGTAACTATTATTCATTACAAGATTAACTTTTAATCATTATAAAAATGCAACTTACAAGATTGTTATACTCCCTCCGTTCCCTTTTAATAGTCCCTTGTGGGCAAAATTTAGTCCCAAAATGATCACCCCATTTGCTTTTCCCAACAACCACTAATATTAATTTTTTACCAAAATTCCCTCTAATTTGCAACAATATTTGTGCAAATTTAAATTTTCTTTTTCCATGCGCTTTTATTACTTTATCTCTGTACTTTTTTACATATCTAATGTTAAATTACTTTTTCAATGTACTTTTACT